CTATTTCCTGACCTTTAAAAGAATCATGTTCTCTCGAAGGAGGTGGCCGAGCGACCTGTGTACTGATCGGAGTTCTGGTGGGAGTGTTTAAAATTGATAGTCTAATGCTGGGGCGAAGGTCGGCCGTGTTGATCTACTTCAGATGAGTTCGTTCAGAGCTGCGATGCGATTGGCCGAGGGAGTCCAGCTGTTCCTGGATTGCGGTCTGTACGTTTGATAGAGCGTCGAGGCGGGTGTTTGTTCTTCTGAACTGGTCATCTTGTTGGTCAAAATGCCTCATGAGCATACTAAGTACGCCCGCGAAGTTGACTTATTCGTTAGTAACGAGCGCGGGCTCGCTGCGTGAAGGGTCAGACGCGGTTACTCTTGTTTCCTCATTGGCGGTCACTGGAGGGCTGACCGTATCTATCGTGGTTGCGGCGACAGAGGTTGCCTGAGTTGCTTCGGCGGTCTCTAGAGTTATTGCCTCGTTGACCTGCTGACTGGTTGATGCATCCAGACTCATGTTTCCTTGCTTTAGAAAATCTCCAAGCCCCCTACCTGGCGCGCCAATTATTTAACCCAAATATCGAACAATGAATTTATGGTAGATAGGAGGTCGGAGGGTTTTGTGTATTAGAAGTTGAGCTCGAAATGAGTGTTACAAAGAAGACCGCTATAGATAGTCGGGACAGATCCCGGTCTACCTGATTACTATAGACTAGAAAGAGAGTAGTAGACCGGACATATCCTAGGCTACTTGTTCGCTGTGAGCTAATATGTAATGTGAGTGTTTGCGGTGTTTACCGGAAGGCGGTCAGCGGTGGCCTTCCGGTAAGTTCTTTGTCGGAGTTAGAGACCTGAACGGTTACGTTCTGGGTCCCTTGTACTTTACCTCAGAGAATGGAATAATCCTCCTTCACATCAGCTTATTCCCCTATTTATAGTACAAGATTTTGAGGGTACATACTAGGTTTTATTAACCGTAGTTACCGAATCTGACTCAGGCTTAACCAGACCGCGGATATTGTTTGAGTTGGGCTTCCATTGTTCTCGGGCCGCTGACCGCCGGGTCATAGATCGTTTAGGCCGCAGGCTCAGGGCCAACACTTACCTTTCCCTCAATATGAATTCTATTTGGTGGTGGTCTTAACACAAATGGCATTCTTTGGGAGACTTGTTGAGGCGGATCGGGAGGTGACATGCTCAAAACCATTGCAGCTCCTCAAGAAATTTGAAAGAACCTTGGTGGGAAGAGTCCTCAATCTGGAGATCTCAGAGGCTCAGGTGAAGGCGTCACTGGCGTTTTTACCTTCGGTGTGGCAGTGTGAAGGTCGTGTGCACGCCTTGAGATGAGCAGAAGGAGCTTTCATTTTTGTTTTGATGAGGAGGCGACTCTACAATCCGTCCTTGACAACAAACCATATCACTTTGATGGGTAGATGATTGCTCTCGACCGATGGATTCCGATGGTGAGGAGAGACTTCCCGAACACCATTTCGTTTTGGATCAAGATCATGGATCTCCCTCCTTATCTCTGTGAAGATGCACAAGTGGAACGTATAGGAGAGGATCTTGGTGATCTATCGAGTCGGAAGGCTAGTGCGCCTTTTCCAATGATCTAGGTCCTGGTGAAGTGCGATGAGCCGCTTCCTATGTACCGGGAAACGCTTTTCGCCACCGGAGAGCTGTTCCGAATCAATTTTGAATTTCTAAAACTCCAAACCCATTGCAAGAGGTGCATGTGAATGACGCATGATACACGAGGATGCCCGGGTAGGGGATTGAGACCGCAACACCAACCGGAGCAAAACCCCCGGCGTGAGGCAGAGATTGATCGGAAAAGACAGAGGGGGCCTAAGGATGAAGCTCCGAAACAAAAGGGGACTCGAGCAGAAGGCAGAACAAAGCCTTTCGACAGAGCTTTTAACTCAATCCCAGAACCGATGCCGATCCAGAGCAATTTGTTAGTAGAATTGGGCGAAGTGGGTGACCATGGATCTGAGACACAAGTTGCTAAACCTTCTACCAAAGAGTGGGTTCGCAAGTCCTTTAGTTGTAACACGGGTCGAGGAGTGGAGAAGGAGGTACGAGAGCAGTCCACCAAGCGGAATGAACCATCCAAAGTTGTTACAGCCATGGATCGGGCACCATGGTTCTATGCTACGGAGGAGGAGGCGGCTGTTGCGAGGGAAGTGTTGGCACAAAATCGGAAGTGGGAGCAGGCGGAGAACCCAGAGAAGGCCGTGGCATCGATTTCCAAGGAGCCGGCGGCAACGACGAGTCGAGCCGAACAGACGGCAATTGTCCCAGATCAGACAACAGCGAACGACCATAGCTCCTAGAAACCAAGAACGAATGAGATTGGGACTGGGCCGATGGGCTCAATTTCTGATGGGCCAATGGGCTCAACTTCTGTTGGGCCTCAGATAACGAAACCCACTTGTTGTCTTGATTTAGGCATTAAGGATCATTTGGAGGCCTATGAAGTGATTTCTCCTCTTATAGAGATCCTGGTGGAGGTCCAAGCAGAAAAACACAGTGGGCCACGGGGTGGACCCAAAAATATGCCAAAAGGGCCAGGTAGGTTGGAACAGAGAATTAGCAAAGCCCTTGGAGTGAATAAGAAGATCAAACAGAGCCCATTTCTAGGCAGTCGTTATCATAAACATGCGTCCTTACTTCGAGAAGACCCCGCACCGGGGTGCACAGCTTTGAACGGTGTTTCCCGTCCATTATCTTCGACGACGAGCCCAGGCGATGGGCAAAGGTCGAGGAAATTAACCGGTAGTTAAAGGAAAATCACCGGCAGCCGCTTAAATGATCTTAAGT